TCGAGTCTCATGCTCTCGATCCATTTGTATTTGAATAGGTCCTTAATCACTCATATATATATGCTTGTATGTATCTTTTCTACGACCAGCCCATTGTGTTGAGAGCGTCTGCAATCGTCTCAGATCTCCGAATCGCAGTCTCTCAACCCGGCCAACGCTCAGATCAACCACTCAAATAGGCCTGCATCTGCATGTGTTCTTGTGACGACCTCATCTCATTTAGCATTCGCCGTCGTCCTCCTATTTTCAATGTCTGATATCACAAAGGTTGAGAGATTCCACAAAGCCCGATATATATAGATATGGAGAGAGGGATCAAAAACAAACTGCAAAACATAGCCCTTGATAGTAGTACAACCTCCCACAAACACGTCAATAAAAAAAAACAGACTGGGATACAAGTACAATACTGATGGACTGTCAAGCTGAGGATGGAGAAGAAGGGGGTCGAGAATCGAGTGGCTGGGTCTGCGGGGATGCGGGGAGGGATGCTACACATGGTGGGGGACTGGAGAGGCTGAAAAAGGTCTGTGGGCTTGGTCGCAGAACTGGCAATCACTTGTTGAGGCATAGAGATCCATCTACCGGTGAGATCAAGCTTGGCGGGTGTGTCGATGGGCTAGTGGAACAGATCAGGCCGGGGTCCGGAGTACATAATACATCAGTTTTTGTCTTGTGTGTGTGTTTTTTTTGGCGGAATCATTTGGCGTATACATCCTGCTTATGGAAAGGGCAAGTGCTTGAAGAGTACGATCTGCTTCTTCTTCTTCTTCTTCTGAAAAAACAAGGGAAAATGTTTGTGAGGGCCGGGAGAGAGAGAGAAGAAACAAGGCAGGAAAGGGAAGGAGTCAAGGACAGAGATTCGAATGGGGATCCAAGGGGCGCAAGTCGCACCAATCGACCGCATGTTGTGGGCCATAGGTCGAGCTCAGATACTCGTTGGCGAGCCGGAAATGGTTCTGGTGCGAGAAGCCGTCGATGTCTGTTGAGCAGCCACTGGGCGCGTCGGGACTGGTCAGGATCTTATGGTTCCTAGCCGACTATTTGCAATCATATAACCCAAAAGAAAACAGGGGGGAGAAAAAGTCAGGATTGTTGGAGATAAAGCCAAAAAAAAGGGGGAAATGGGACTGACTGAAGCCACTCCAGAAGCTCGAATCTGTTGGATAGCCTCTTCGCCCCAACCGATAAAGACGATCCCATTATTTGGATGAGCCGGATCAAGATGATGAGGAGGCGCCACAGGAATGTGCTGATCGGACAGCTGATGATGATGATGATGATGAGGGTTGTCGAACGCCCCGCCGCCCTGACGACTGACGATCTCCAAGATCCGGGTGGCGAAGACTTGCCAGCCGAACCGCGAATGGGCCTCGTTCTTGTCCCGTTGGGCGGTCTGGACGATGTTCAAGAGGAGCACCCCGGCCCGGGCCCAGGAGACTAACGAGCCGTGTCGCGGACGGATAAAGCGTTCGGGGTATTGGTTCCCTAGTTCGCGATGGATCTGTCGTTCATACCAAAAAAACAAAAACCCCCTCAGTGTTTACTTTCCTCAATATATTTGAGAACAGAAGAAAAAAAAAAACCACAAACAGCTCGAATGGCGCCAGAAAGACGGGTACAAGTAGTCGGTTGGGAGAATGCTAAGCCGTGAGTTTGGTCGGAATGATGATGGACAGAGGGGGCAAGGATGACGACTTTGACTTGATCGAGCGGGGTGAGTCTAGTCCAGTTATAGAGATCGTGGGCAGCGGGTGCGATTTCTCGGAGTCTATGGGGAGCTTTCTGGTTGAGTTTGTAGTCGTATCCGAGATAGTTTGGGCCGAGCTGTTGATGGAGACTGATGATCTCGGGCTGGATGAGGATCGGCTTGAGGGGCTCGAGCCAGGAGGGATGGATGCCGTGGATGGGGTGGATCTCGAGCGGGAAGAGGGCCGGGTTGAAGGCCAGGTCGAGCTCGGTGAAGCCGTCGGTGAGCTCGGAGTGACTCGAGGAGTCTGTGTCGATCGAGAAGATCGAGCGTTGATCGCTCGGCGTGGGCGAGCCGATGGAGCTCGACAGGTTCGGCGGAAGATTGTTATTGTAAGTGATCGGTTTGGCTGGCTTCTTCTGGCTCTGCTTGCTCTTACTCTGAGTCTGAGGCTTGATCTTCTGCTTCTTCTTCGCCACTCGTGGTCGCTTCCATGCTCCCTCTGGGCCGGCCTCATCAGAGCGTTGATGGCCCCAGAGATCGCCCAAGGAGAGCTGGTCAGTTCCCCTGCGACTCGTCCCCAGGAAGATCGGCTCATCATCGCTAATCCCATCAACAACAAGAACCTCCTTCCGATCGATCATTAGATCCGGCTCACTCATCCGGCGTTTGGTCGACTTGCGCGGAGGGCCAGTCGAGCTTGGTGAGGATTTTCTGGAATACATGCTGCTTTTGGAAGAAGATTAAAATTGTAAGGTCTGTCGAAGAATTTCAATGTGATGGCTGATCTGTGTGATGGCTGGATGAAGCAGAGGAAGGAAGCCGATCCAGGATCAGGAGGGGGCTCTCTATATACAAGCCCAGCCCATCCATGATTGCAATCGACAAGTGTTTGCTTCCCTTCTTAAGATCTTGAGTGATGAGTGATGAGTGATGCTTGACGCGACTGTTGGCTGGACGCGTCTGTGGTGGATCCAGCTGGACGCGTATCATAGACGCGATCGATCAGTTGGGTGTGTGTGTGCCGATGATGGGTTTCCGGTCGTCGGATTGGAACTGATATATTTCCGTCTTCCAGGACCAATTGATATCGCTTGGATCCTATACATATATTCGAGCTGACTGTGTGGTTCATCTTCTATAGTCAGCGGATAACCTCTTGGTATATGTAGTCGGTGATGTTGGTGTGGTTGTTTGGTTGGAAGTGGTGGGATATACAAAGTCGAAGAAGGAGATTGCTGATGGAGAAATGCTCTCTTTCGATTGGTCACAACTCCGGTCCTATTTATGTATGATGACTTGAACCGCGACCAAGTTTGGCTCGGCCTGAGGATATCTATTCAGTTGAGGAGGGTGGATGTATGCATGTTGTACATATCCCACATCTTCAAGATCAAACAACAGCCCAACACACCAACGAGCATGTCCCAGTCAGCCTTCTCGCAGAGTCAGCAGACCCAACGGAGTCGACAGCAATCCATCTTCTCACAAACTGCCTCCCAATCGACTACTACCAGATCAACAGCCACCTCCAAGGCTCATCATCCAACCTGTCCGAGATGCGGCTCAAGGAAATGGAGGAGGGATCCGAATCGGGGCGTCGTCGTCTGCGCCGAAGGTCACGTCCTAGAGGTAAACTCCCCCATCTAAATAGATCAGATAACTACTACTGACACAATACAAATCATCATCAGGGCTTCCTACGCGAGAGTACCGAACAGACCGAGGCCTCTCAATACTCTCTTCGAAAAAGGAGACTCTCGGCGGCTCCAAGGCAACGGAAATCTTACATCGGAAAATCAGGTAAGGTATCATCGCAAGAGAAAACGATCTTGGATCAGAGTCATACTGAAATAACAAGTTTCGATCTAGCTTATCAGGACCAACGCGCCCGTATCTTGTTGGTCCAGGCATTAACCCTCTTGATTCGCAAACAAATCGAAGCGCTCGTTCAGATCATCAATGCACCAACTCAACTAGAAGTCAGTCTTGCTTCTTTCTGACTTGCTGGATTCCTTCGGAAAGAATCTAATCTGACCTCTTGTACAAATTTCTCCAGGAAATCACTCAGACTTTATGGAAGGCTTACCTTTCAGCAATCAACCTTGACGATAACTTATTTAGAGCAGAAGACAGGTCTCCGTCCCCAGCGATTCCCAGCTCACGATTCGGGGACGACTCCCAATCGGCCGGATACTCCTCCCAGGACCCTGATAGCTCACATACCACCACTCCGCGCAGAACTAATCCCAGTACAAGTGATTCTCTTCTCCAAACAGGGGCCACTCCAAACAAGGATCAACTGACGACCCCAGAAGCTTTGAAGGCAATCACCCAAAACCATCCCGAATCCTCCGACGACTCCTCGACTGACTCAGCCTCCTCTTCTAGCTCCAATGATGGTTTACAACAGAAAAAATCCACCCGGAAAACTCCCAAAACCCATCATCGTGCTCATACCGAAAACATCAAGATCCATCCAAGGATGGTCGTCACGATCTGCACGATCTATTTGGCTTGCTTGAAGCTTCGACTTCCGATCATCTTACAAGACCTCATCAAGTCAGTTGATTCATCCGACTTCATCATCATCATCATCATCATCATCTTTCTCGCTAAGTTCGACGATTGTCTTCCCTTGGTCTCAGCTTCATTACCACTAAACAAGTCCCTCACATCGGCTTCATTCATTCGATCCCCACCGAGGTCCAGAAAAAGATGAACCGACCGGTCATGCAGAGTTTATCAGCCGAAGTAAGCCTAGAACCAACCCGGCCTGTTATCCAAGAAATTTTGAAGTTCCTGACTCGAACGTCTCCTGGTCGGATATATATATATAGAAACCACCACGCTTATTTGCACGTCGAGGGCATTCGAGTGGATTGGTTAACGTCTGTCGCCAACTGTTGAAGATCTTTCAGGACGCTAATCCGTCGGTCTTGTTGCCCGAAAATACTACCCCCAATTTGTCCCTTCTTGTCTTACGCTTCTCGAAAGTCTTGCTTCTACCTGGTCAGTCAACATCCTTTGTTTACTTGAAAGAACAAACAGAGAAGATTAATTTATCTATTTCTTGGGGCATGGGAATATCGTATCACAGATCCCTTGCAACTAGTGGCATTGAACCTAGTGCGCCGCCTAGACCCGTACTTCTTAACGTTAAGTGTGCTTCCTCCATCCGGCGGGGCCCAAGCCAGCATGGGTGCCGTCTCGGCCAAGACGACGACGAGCGCCGCCGATCGTCGAGCAGGCTCGGCCACCGGAAACAAAGCGCTGGCGATATTCCGGATGCAGATGGCCAAATATCCGCCGGAATGGTTCATCATGGCCGTCGTCTATATCGTCGCGCAATCCGCTATCGTCGCTTCTTGCTCCAATCGTCCTCGTCCCTCTGCTGCTTCTTCTTCTTCTTCTGACAACGACGACAATGACGGTGATTATGAGAATGCCAAAGATGGTGATGGTGATGGTGATGATGATAATGGTCGGGCTGCTGGGGCTGGCGGTGAAGGTGGTGGAGCCAACTCGGTAGCAGATCAGAATCAGGGAGAAATCGATCAGCAAATGCGGCGCTTGGTTTCCCAATTCTTGCCTCATCATGATCAATGGTATCAAGATCTCACGCACAAGATCAAACTCGATGAAGATCAGAAACCTCAAACACTATGGGAGTTGAGTCCTTCGAACTTTGATGGACTTTTCTTTTTTGTTTGTTTGTTTGACTGGCTGTGACTGATTGAGTGATTTATTAGGAAGAATTTGACTGAGTTGGATCCGAAAGAAATCGATTCATATATCGCGTTTACGAAGGACTTTTTGTTGAATGATCAGCCTGAACCCAATGGTAAGCTCAACCCCACAACCAAAACAAACAAACATCTCCCTCATGAAAATACATCAAAAGAGACTCAAAGAATCGTGAGGTTTTTTGTTGCTGTTGTTGTTTGGTTTGTTTGGACAGACATCGCGTTCAAGAATCTCTTTTTCCCGCTCTCTTCGACGACAAGAACCGAGGCAAATGGAGACATTGAGATGGACGAAGCAGGTTCGAATGAGAGAGCGAGAGAAGAAGGAGGAATAAGAAGCAGCGTGCAAGCAGCCGACGATCCTGCTGATCCAACAGAAGACCAATCTGCAGATACTCATCCTCAAAACAGACTCAAAAGGAAGGATGATCAGCAAGAGATCGTCAAGTTATTGACCCAGTTACTCGTCACTCGGAGCTCCGAAGCCGTCGGCTGTACGCTCTCCAATCATTCCCATCTTGAGGAGTTCGTCAAGGTCTACGTCTTTGTGGACTCGTTCCTTTCCAAGAAAATTTGATCTTCCTCTTTGGTTTCCTCGTTTGTATCCCCCTCATCTTCGCTTTGTGATAATATGCTTCATATTGGGTTTTTGGATTATCTTGTATTTCTTGTGCGGGCTCTGCATATTTTTTTTCTTTTTTGGTGGGGGGGGGGGCAAGGGGGTGGATTAGTTGCTTGATTGCAAAATAGTTGGAATATGTAGTTGTTACAGTCAAGGGCCCAAGATACATCAATTCTGTTGAACAAAGAAAAGGAAACGTCTGCTTGCTTGTATTGACACTTCAAGTTCGCCCGAGTTTTTGAAGTGAAAGTGATGAAGTGTCACAGGTTTTCTGGAGTGATGTCACAGATTGGTCCTCCAATCTCGATTAAGCAGCCAACGACTTGTTGATTCGATGGTGATCACCAGTTCATTCAACATATTTATTCCGACAAGTCTTGTTCAAGGAAGATGACACGATTGTTGAGGACCGCTCCAAGGATTCTTCCGATCAGACGGCCTTCCACACGAGCATCCAGTGATGTAGTTGTCCAACAGATACGACGAATTCACGAAGGGACAGATCAGACGATCGAGGCTCAGCCGATGTATGCGAACCATGTGTCTCTGAACGGTTTCCAACGGACGTTCCTAGCGATCGGCTCTGCGCTTGCGTCGCTGAACAACCCGTATCGGGCGGACATGATCGCGGTGCTTTCGGAGACCACTGGGGGCCCGTTCCTGGCCCGCTTGAGGGACCAGATGCTCGCCGACGAGGCCGGCCGGCGGCTGTTGAGGGACCGGCCAAGGATCAACACCTCCACCGTCGACCTCATCTCGCTCGATCAATTGCCCCAGGGTACCTTCGGAAAAGAGTATTGTAATTGGCTCCGATGGTGTAACGTCTCGCCTGATACCAGGGAACCCGTCCGTCCTCCTCCTCTTCCTCTCTCCTTGTCGCTTTCGGCCTGCGCTCATCAGATTGGCTTCATCGTTTCTTTCGCTCTATAGGTCCGCTTCATCGATTCACCCGAATTGGCTTATGTGATGCAGAGGTATCGTGAATGTCATGGTAAGGAACCATTGGATTTCTTTTAAAAAAATATATATACATGAAAGAGTTGGCTGGTCGAAAGAAAAACAAGCAGATAGAGATACTAATGATCAATGAATGACACAATGACTGTTTTCATTTTGAAGATTTTTATCACGTGATATCCGGGCCATTCCCAGTGAACATATCCGGGGAGATCGTAGTGAAATGGGTGGAGCTAGCGAACATGGGTCTGCCGGTAGCGGGGCTGTCGGCGATCTTTGGGCCACTCCGACTGGCCTCGGAGAAGCGGAGGGAGCTGTTGAGGACCTATGTGCCCTGGGCGCTGCGGATGGGGAGCAGCTGCAAACCGTTGATCTGCGTCGAATGGGAAAAGCATTGGGAGACGCCGATCGACCAGCTTAAACGCTCCCTCGGGATCTCCGAACCTCCCCTCGACTTCAAAACTTGGATGGACCTTCAACGCAAACAAAAATAGGCTACTCATCTCTTCTTCTTCTTCTAACGTCTAGTGTAGACTCTTGTCTGATCATTTTACCAAAATTATATCCTCGTCTTATTTTGCTTGTTTGAATGACTCAGAAAATGTACCTGCTAATTATCAACTCATTGATTTGAACCAACTGATTGTGTAAAGCTATCTGCACACACATGAAAGGATGCCAAAAAGCAACTCATTGATTGGCAAGTTCAGTCCCTCTACAGAATCGACCAAATCCATGTGTACAGCTTCTTCAGTATGATGGGGTATGATGGTCTTCAACTCATTCTGGCAAGCAGCTGTCAGGACCTGTCTTCATTTTATCAAGTCGTGCATGCACAACAAATCAAAAAAAAAACAAGCCAAGCCAGAGAGTGTCAACAAACTGCAGCAAAACATGTGATCAAGAGATCATGGAAGAGTCCACTCTGATTGCAAAACAAAAAAAGGCTTGGATGATCAGACAGATGTTAAGGGCCACTGAGAGCCATCTATCCATTGATTGATTGAGCCTGCATCTTTTCCCACAAATGGGGGAGGGACTTGCCATCAAATTTACGGCCCCGCGTGTATATATGGATGGCGCTTGAGAGACAACAAGCCTCAGTTTTTTTGCCGCCGATGTAGCTTTGCAGCCGGGACATTCTGGCTTGTCACTTTATAATAGGTTCCTTGACAGCCGGATTTTAGTAGCACTTTGTCTCTCAATACGGAGATTTCCAAACCAAGCAGGCCTCCCGAGACACCCGTTCGTACCACATCGTGATATCTTACATATGTCGAGATTAATAATTATCAGGGGGCTCTTGGGCCTTCTAGGAAACTGGAAATGATGGACCGCTGGATCTCTTCTTGATAAAGCTCGAAGAGCGCCACAAATTAAAATCACCATCGAGTACTTGCCCTTTATGAACCATTCAGAGAATAGTTTGAAAGAAAAACACATCATTTCACCCAAACCACCCATCAAAAAGCTCTTGATCATCTGATGCGTGGAAACAAATTAAACAGGTGCATTGTGAGTGGCAGACGACTATATAATGATGGGGATCTTGGACGTGCACAGGCCTTGATGCTTGTAGACAATTTTTTGTTGTTGGATATAGGATTCGATGTTTATTGTAGCTGCCTAAACACAAGAAGACAAATCACTGGACACAGACGGTTTCCTATAGCCGTCTGTGAGTCATATTCTTTAATGCCGATTGTCAAATTTCATGCGACACGAGGCAACATTAAGCGTACAACAAATTCAGTCCGACACATTGCAATCCAAACATCTGGGCACCGGGATCGGTGGATCCAAGCTCGCAAATCTTCGCAGAGGTCTCCATGAGCTGGTCCCATAGATCATGTGTATATATCCACAAGGAAATTTTAAAGTTGGGCCAGTGAAGTACTCTTCCTGGGTTTTCCCCGGGTATGGATGGTTTAAAATTGATGCTGAACTTGGAGTCATGTCTTTATATATAATTTAATTACTTCCAATTGTCTCACCGGAGCAACATCTTGGGGAAAGTGTAGAGCTTCAGAGATACCAAAAGTGAGAGAAACATGTATTGGTGGAATGCAGTAATCTTAGAGAGCTTATTTTCTAGAGGGAGATCAAGCCGGAAGGTTTCAAATTGTGCCAGTCGAGCGATTTGTGGGCAAGGTATGTCTTTAGAAGAGTCGCAAGATTTTCCTTGAGAGCCACGGTTTTCTCGTCGGAATACTAGGTTGGCATGTTCACTGCATCACCGTTGATTTCTTTGCAATTTGAATACCAGATACCCACCGTTGTATTACCGACCATGACCTGAAAATCGAACCAAAATGAGCACTGGGAAGTTGGAAAATCTTTGATGAGTTTAATCATATCAAAATCCTTGGAACATACATCGTCCGAGATGCAGCATGTTGTTCTGGTCCAACCGGGTGCCTTTCTGCAGTCATAAGTTTTCGCGTAGTTGTTCCAAGGAGCAACCATCACTGCAGGAGCAAGAAAGGAATGTGCCTTTGGGGTGAGGATCCTGGATTTTTTTACTGGACAAAAATAATTGGAGCGACTATGTATGTGGACAAGGGGACTTACTGTTGACCCAATAAGGCCGGGGCGGCTCATTTGGTCCCGAGGGACTTCTCTGTGGCCACACTCTTACGCAACCAGCACGCGTGAATTCCTCAGCATGCTCACACCCAAAAGATTCGACGTAATTAACCCCGCCATGGATGAGGAGTACCGTTAAGATTGATAACAAGTTACTTGATTGCATCTTGAGTCGGGGAGGTTGCTTTCCTAGTTATTGTTAAACCGATATGCAGATTGTAATGGTGGCCGTGTAGTGTTTTCTGAAGCTGAGGATGGGTTGTGGCAACAGATGATTTGACAACGAAGACTTGTTGAAGGGGACGGAACACTTGGCTGGTCATTTATGGAGGCGTTGTTAAGCCCCATTGTGAGAACGGGACTGCTCATGCTGTATGAGATGAATGTATTCAGTATAAGCCCCAACAGCGTGTCCCATTGCTTGTATGTATGATACATACACGTATAGAATACGCAACCACACGTTTGCCCTTGAGGCTTGATTGAAGAACAGCCTAGAACAGCGGTATGTAGTCTGGTTTCGCCTTGTGTGTATGGCAGAGGCCTTACATCAATTATTGGGCACGGGTGCTCGGTACTGTCGCTGGCTGCAAAACACGACTACAGTACAACTAAGAATCACGAGAGCCTCAGAAAGAAAGATGCGATGATGAATACAGATGTATAACCACCTAGAAGTATTGTAAACTTCGTAAAATACAAGACTATAACGGTCGCGTTCTGAATGCTGGTGACAGGTTGATGAGACGATTGACCCTCTTTTTTGGCTTGAGAGGAGAGTGGGTTCAAGTCACGATATCCGCCGACAACTGGCAACTTATTGATGATAGCCAAGGCTGTGTGGGGTGGTAAGATGATCCGATTTGCAATAAGGTCGGCAAACTTGGTCCTCTGTTCGCAATTGTAAGTTTCTACAGACCAGAGGGGTATCGTCGGGGGAGGACCCCGGTGAGCCCTTGGTAGACACACTGATTTAAATCTGGGCAAAATATAGTTTCTGCTACATGGTTATCTTGTTTTTTTTTTTCCATTTATGCCTGTTGGGATACCTTCTACATAAGTATGTATGGATGAAGAAAAGGGAAGCTCAAGTTTTGGATAGGACATAAGGAACATTGGATGGTCTTTATTTCTTGAATTTGACCCCCCATGCTCCAGCCAAGATGGCACTTCAGAATAAAGTCATTACCACTAGGTTTGATTTGGCACTTGTTGCAAGGCACTCCAGGGTTTGTGAGCAGGCAGAGTTTCCGTATTGTTGCATTTTTTTCTTCCATTTTTGAGGTTGTTCAAGTTAACAAAACATATCAAGTCTCAAGGGGGGGAACTGGGAGGAAAGTCAGGTGGGCAAGGGGTAAGATTTGAAGCAAAAGTCTCAAAAGTCACCTTGTGTTATAGCCCTTCTCAGTTCTGACCTCATCCAAATCTAATCATTGGCTACCATCAGTTTGAACTCACTACAAGTACATAAGTATGTATTTTCCAAAAAAAAAATGAGAAGTCAAAAAAGATTCCAAACACATAAGTATGTGTTTTGAACCAAAAATCTGGAAACTGGATTTTTGCTACATTATTTGCCATATTTCATCAGTATGATTTTTGAAAAAAAAAATCATTTTGCTACATGTTTCATGTGTGTGTCTAACAGGGGTTCACCGGGGTCCTGTCGGGGGTGATAGGTTGAAGTTAATTAGAGGAAGGCAAAGGTTGGGCAGATTGGTTGAAGTTCTGAATCGTTTCTGATGTCGATCGGAATCCGTCTGTAATCGGGAGCGAAGAGAAGTTTTGGGCTGACGGATCGTAGGGGTCTCTGACAAATTCTTCCTTTGGGTTGGGAGAACTGGTGAGACTATAGGGAGGAGAGCCCTGAGGGGATCTAGCTTAACTAAGCCTCTCCTTTGGTCGGGACCGAATGGCTGACCCCACGGGCTTATGCCATAAGTCTCTTGCACGGCATGAGGCTGGCAAATTTTTGCCATGAAAATCTGTAAAATTACACTGATCTCTGTTTTTAAAAAAATTGTACGGATCAAATCCGACTTGGATTAGCCTTTGATTTCAGGCTTCTCAATTTTTTTTTTCCGTAATTTTTCATCCACAACAGGCTGTTGTGCAATCCATCTTGTTCCGCCATTCCCTGATCATTGCAATCATCCGTTTGGAGTATCCAAATGTTGTTTGGACTACACTCTCACACGGCTTTTTAACTATTAACTTATGAGTGAGCTCTTACTATTAAATTATGAGCGAGCTCTTTTACTATTAACTCATGAGCGAGCTCTTCTAGTGAATAGAAATCTCTGGAAGATTCCCATAGGCTGAAATTCTATGGGTTTGGGCCGGATCCATTCAGCTAGGTATCCAGTCTCTACCAGACCGGATTCCAGGGACTCCTCAACTCTCTACATCACCATAGCTTCCAGGGTAGAGCAGGGGATGGGGATGTTAAGTGTTGAGGACTAGTAGAAAAACATGCTGCTTCCAATGGTGCCATTGGCAAATGTGGAATCAGCAATGTTGACGGTGAAATTGGGTGAAAATGACATTTAAATGAAAATGGCTGGGTGGCCTCAAGGCATTTTCCGCTCATTTGTCACAAGTCCCTCCCTGCGGGAGGGGGAGCTTCGCGCCCAGCAACAGTGTTACACAGTGTCCTCCCACCAGGGAGGGACTTGTGTTAAGTTAGGAGAGGATGGGCTTTGTAGGGAAGATGATGGTCACAGGTGTTTCTTTTTTTTGGTAGGACTGGGCGCGGAATAGAGCTTTGATGGGGCGGGTGTAAGGCAGGTACCTGGTCCGGGTACCCGCCTTTTTTTACCCCAAATGTGGACACCCACACCCGTTTGCGGGTACCTGCTTTGGAAAACCCGCTGACATCTCTACAGTAAGACTGTCTCTAATAGGTTTTATTTTTGTTTGAAACTTGCGACCAAGTTGTAGTACATAATTTGGTGTTCTACATCCAATGCAGAGTTGAAATACACAAAATTGGTGCAAACACCATGACTATTATGTACAAGCTACAATAGGCCTCAAAGTTGGCACTTTTGTTTCAGAAGGGGTGAGGTTGGTTCTTGCCATCCACAACTGTAGTGTTAGCGCACTAGTGTTGATCCCAGTACCGTTTCAGTGGCAAGAACAGCCAAAAAAACCCACTAAAAAGAGCTGGAGTGCAGCATAGTGGAGTCATTTTTTATGGCCTGTGCGCATAGCGTCAGCACAGGTGTGGTGGAATTCTGCTGTGCTACCCTGACTGTTAGATCAGTTCTGCTACAGTTAGTGTAGCTGGCCCATTGTTGTACATACACACACTTCCAGCTGGGGGCAGAAGCCACAAAAAACAAGCTCATGACAAGAGAAATTCCAGTACAGTTCCATTGTAAATCGCCAGAGAAATAGACCTATTGAGATGAGCAGAAAACCCCCTTGACTTATGCTCTGGATGCATATTTCATAAACTATCCAATCTGGTTGACCTGATTATGTGATCTGAATCTTTCCCCCCACACCAGACTTGATGATTTACGGAATATGGATGATGTGTATGCATTTGGATGATTAACTTTGAACATAACTAAATTAACATGTACAGGATAGTACTCAGATCCACCACACACAAGAACCACCCTGGGCAAAATGGGGCCATGGAATCTAATCAGGTTGTCATGTCCTGAGTCAAAACATGAGCTCACTTCCCCAGACAGAGGCAAAGTGACTGCAGAATGTGGATGCCATGTTTGGCTTTAATCCAGACATGGTAACCAGATTACATATTATGTCCCCATTTTTCGCCCAGAGTGAATGATTCCCTCCAAAATACTCATGACAACTTGGATGTATGCACATTTCTATAGGTGGCATAGTGTAGCAAAAAAAACAAAACACTAAAATTCAGTGTAGTGTTAACACATTTCTACCTTTCTGCACTAACGCTACACGCATGGGGCACAAAAATGTGCTAGCTTGTAGTGTAGCGTTAGCACAATCCTGCACATCTGCGCTAATGCTACACGCACAGGGCACAAAGAAGCGCCTGCTACACTGCGTTACAGCAGTTTATAGGCCTTTTTTGCTGCTAAAAACACACTAGTGTAGTGGCACCACAAACACTACCCCAAAAGAAGACCAGTGTTAGCGCCGCTACAAAGCAGTGTAGCACAGCAGCAGTAGCGGCAACGATGAAACGGATGTGATGCGTGCATTGGCATCGCATCACATCGCATCGGAGTGAGCAATGCGGGGCCCCGCATCGCATCGTCCGCATCGGAAAAACCGATGTGGAGAATCGGCATCACATCGATTTCCCAATGCGATGCCCGATATTTTGCAGGCAATGCCGATGTTATCGACAGGCATCGCCTGAGCCTCCCTCCGGAGTCCCCTGACATGAGGAGGGACTTCAGGAGGGGTTGTACTGTAGTATGCCTGCGAGTCCGAACTCCGACTCGACTCCGAGTCACTCCGGAGTCCGAACTCGACTGCGAATCGCCATGAAAGGGCTGCTCATCAACTCATCGGCGAACACGACTTTTGCAACTTTTGCAAAATCGACCCTTCTAAACAACTCACCCATTTCCGGAGGAAGATCCTTTCCGCCGAAATCAAGCCCGTCCTCGAGATCAGTGTGATTGACCGGCTCTTCTACACCGAACCTAATGAGCAACCACCATCGTCATCAATCATAACCACAGCATCCAAAGAAGAAGAAGGGTGTTCTTCTTCTTCTTGTATGGTCGAGAAATTGGAGCCGATCGACTGGAAGCCTGAGTATACTCATGCTAGTGCCCTGCTTGGATCTCCACCCCCATCGGGTCCGCCCGACCTCCCCCAGCCAAGCCTTTTGTGCACTGGACCGGCGCCCGGATCCGTGCTCAACTCGCACTCCATCTCCTCCATACACCTTCCCCTCCTCTTCCTCCTCCTCCTCCTTCTTCGACTTTGACTTCTTCGCTTAGGGTCTTTCAGCCCATTGGAGCCACGCTCGGCCGCGTTTCTTCGGCGTATATCCTAAGTAAGATGCACAATTTTTCTTATTCCATCCTTTTTTTTTTAAAAAAATACACATGCTTTTTTAAGCCGATGCGTCCGATACGGCCGATAAATACATGCATCGCATCGGTTAAGCAATGCATTGCATCGGTACCGCATCGCAAAGCCAATGCAATACCGATGCGATGCATCGGTATCGCTAAAACGATGCGATACCGATACAGGGCGATTTATCGCATCGTATCGCATTGTTTCATCGTTGGTAGCGGCACACCAACACTACACAAAGAAAAGGATGCTGTTAGCGCCACTACAATGATGCTAAATATGGGCCCATAGCAGCCCACCATTGCATGTATTTAAATATATATACATCAATTAGGAAAGTGAGCATCCCTTCCTTGTTCACTCAACCAGTCATTTTACTTTGTCAGCTTCTTCATTCCAAGAGTTCCTTTTGGCATCTGCTCTGTAGGCCTTGTCATCTTCATCATCTTCCCTCTTCATGCATCTCCATATAACCATGACCATAACCATAACCATCATCATCATCACTGAACTTTCATAATTTGTTTTTATAAAAAGTTTTTTTTTTGTTTTTACTTGGAACAAAACCGCAGTATTTCTTTTTTTTTTTTTTGTAAGTAAATGATGAGAATGGTTGAGAGAAAATAAGCGGCAAAATTTGAAACTAAGATTATGAAAAGAGACCAGGATTGCAGAACTCTCAATCATGATAAAAGAAAAAAAAAGAGAACAGAGAGGGGGGGGAGGGGGGGAGAAAAGATAATATGGGGAGGTGAAAACAAAAAAAATCTAATTACAAAGGATACTACTATATGTAAATGAAGAAGGAAAAGGAGGCAAGATCCTAAGAGCTTTTTGTCTGGAGAAAAAGAAGAAAAAAAAACATCAACATAGTTTCTGCTAATTATAAGAAGACAAAACCAAAAGAAGAAGAAAAACAACACATCATGAGGGAAGAAAGAAATTCATTAAGTAGAGAGAGAGAGAAAAACAAAACCCTAGAAGATATCCATTCATTTTGTTGTAATATATAAACGTTTTTTTTTATCTGAGATATCTCAAGAGGTTTTACAATCTTCGAGTGGTAGTAGTGAGTAGAAAGGTAGGCTATAAATGATAAGATATGTTTATCTAGCCTTTTTCTTCTAAGAAATTGCAGAGGAATTGCGATTGAGCTCTTTATGAATAGAGCAAGAGAGAGAGAAGACAGGAACATTAAATAATGTGAACTAATCATATATAGATATGTATATATATGTGTGTATCTAATAACAATCATTAGTAGTAATAGTCTTCTTCTTCATTTTCCTTTTTTTGAAATGCTGTAGAATCCCCGGATGAGTTTGGAATGGTTTTCAAGAATACATGGATCCATCGGACCTCTTGATTGGACCAAAATAACGACCAGATATGGATGGACGGGGGATGGAGCGCTTGAGCCGAATACGTGATGGGGTGAGGCAGCACCAACAGAGTAGTAGAGTAATTGGAATAGTAGTAATAAGTGATGGTAGTAAGTGAAGCGTTGTAGGAGAGATGATGGACGAGATGATGTCGGATGATCATCCATTGAAGTCAGTTCGTTTTTGAGATGCGAATGATAGGAGAAAATGGAGTGGAATATAAGGCTAGTGGTCGTCGTCGGTCGGAAGAAGAAGTTACGAGCGGGCGCAGACAGACTCCTGACCGAACGCAAGGTCTCCTTTTCAAGGGCTAGAAGGCTAACGAAAACCCCGCACATCGGTCAGCCCCTTGAAACGCCCTGGGGACGTCCTCTATTGAGTCGCTCGTCGAACCATCTGCAAAATACATTGAATAGAGAGGTACCGTCAAAAAAAGGCACATCGCGTGAATGGTCATGATAGGGAAAGAATAAGTTAACTAGACTAACCTCTTTGGCCCATTTGGCCAACTTTTTGGTCTCCGGACCTCCCACTCGCGTTCTTCCGGTCTTCAGAGCCTCTGCAATCCACTGTTGGTCAAGTGCACCTTTGATCTGTCCACTTGAGAAGATCTCGGCCAAGTCACCAATGATGCCAAGTGCGCCTTTCAACAATTCCTCCGTCTGGTCCTGGTCAGTCACCACTACATGGAGAAATCCGCATATCGTCGGTACGTGCGGGAGTATCAAATCGGTCTTGTTCGCTGACTTGAGACCGGCGATGATTCCAGCATATGCTTCCAGGATTCCTTCTCGTAGTTGGTTGATGTAATCAACAAGGTCGTAGTTCGTGGGATCAGCACGCATCGCTCCAGCTTGCTGTAAAACGCCGATTGTCGTTTCCAAGTACGGAGCGAAGTTGCCACCGACGGCCAACGCTATATCTCCGAAACAGGAGAGGATAGGTGGCTTGACGCTGCGATGCAGGATGGTACTCTGCAGGTCCTCGAGCAGTAGTTCCATGAATCCTTGCGCAAATGGCGCAGCTTGTTCACCCAAGCCACGACAGATATCACCAACGATACCCACTCCGATACAGCAAAGCGGGTACTCTTCATGTGATTTGAGAGCAGCGTTGAGGAAAGGTAAGAAAGCGGGGAGGTAGGCCTGGAAATCCGTTTCAAGTGCTAAAATTCGAAAGGTCGAACATTGAACATTTGTTTTTTTAAAACATGGGAGGACCGAAAGAAGACTCACCATAGGTCATAGCACCAACGGCTAGGAAAGCATCATCAAGGATGGGGGACTTGGGCCCAGCGCCTTGAATCAGGCGTAATATCAACGTCATAGCTCGATCGGCCATAGGTTTGACCTCCGGACCTAATCTTCGGATCGCATGCTGTGAGAAAAAGAAGGCATGTCAATTCTCAATAGAGTTTACCGAATTGCAGAGATGATGAACAGTTGCATACCGTCAAGACAGCACAGAAGGCGACCTGAAGGTCAGCATAGTTACGTCGATCATCGTCACCAACAAGTTGAGCTTGCATGCCCAATAGGCGCTCGGACCGTTCCATGATGACAACAAGTGCATTAGAGACAACGGGCAGTGCTTCGGGGGATGCAAACTTCATCAGAGTGCCAAGGGCCTCGTATGCCGAAGTGCGTGAGGTGGGCTCATCGGCAACACTAAGATGATAGCCAGAGATTGAGATGAGTACCTGTCCGAGTAAAAGGGCCTGAGAAGTTTGATCAGATGGCTCACCGATCAGAAAAGGCTATCAATGAGTTAGCAATGCCTTCATAGAATCTGCTCAAAACAGAATCTGGCTTGCTAGGATCGCCCAGCTGTTCGGCAAGGTTCATGAGCCCCCAGCAGCAGTTCCCAACAATACGTGTATTGTCGCCCAAGCCACCCAGTAGGACAGTAATGAGTGGCTCGAGGTGAACGTCGGGCTTGATGGTCCCGATCAGTTGATCGGTCACCCTACCCAACGTCCAGGCAGCGGTATCCTTGACATGCATCGAAGGATCTTGCATCATTTCGATCAAGGTAGGCAGAGCCTGTGAGACGAGTGGGTCCAGCATCTTAGGATCTGGCCCGTCAAGGATCGAGCCGAAGGCCATGATGGCTGCATCTCGTTGGTGCCAATCGGCAGACTTGATGTTGCTTTCCACAAACGGGATCACCGGTGCCACTACTGCATCACCAACGGTTTGGGCGAGTAGGGCAAGCGACGTTCCGGCGGCCATGCTGACGTTCCATTCGTCCTCGTCTGCATCCTCACTCTGTCTGGTTAGAAGCTGGAGCAAGACTGGGAGAATTTCTGGAAGAGCGACCTTGGCAAAGTGCTGGCACTCTCTTTCCGTTGGCTCTGAGTACTCGAGAGCCTCTTCAGCCTCGATCTGTAGTTCAATTTCTTCGTCACACACTGTGGACCAGAACTCGATCGCCTGAAGGACCACCCGCTCGTCGGCATGTTTCATTCCTAGAACGGTGAGCTAAAGAAGAGGGTAGTGGGGGTGAAAGATCAGAGAGGATCGATGAATTCAGCCAGGAATACATGCGAGAGAGAGAGAGACATACTCCGAATAGGGCCCTCTCCATGTAGAATCTCATCTTGTCGTAAAACAATTGCATGATCTTGACCAGACATCCGAACGCAGCGACTTGAACGTCGGGGGTTGGGGACTGAGTAGCCTCGCAGACGACTTGCATGATATAATTCCGCTCGCCCTGGAATCAAAGAAGCAATGGATGGTTGAGAACCCAAGGCGATCGGAAGAATGAAATCGCCGCTGGGACGCGGAAGAGACGGTGTGTGATCTCACCTCGCGGTCGAAGTTAGCTCGAACGAATTCAAGCGAGTTGTAGAGCGCGTTAACTGCTGCAAGCTGTACTTCCGCGCTGGGTTCTTCCTTCCTTGCTCCCGAAACCACAGCTGTCAAGATCTCGTTGGACTGGGCTGCCAAAACTTCGGGGAGCTGAGACGGCCAAGGCGACAAGAGAAGAAAAGGTTGATGGTTAGACTTGAAGCTCATAAACAAATCAAGAAGAAAAAAAAAAGGGGGGGGGGGGAATCTGTATACTCACCGTACTCTCACAAAGATATCCGATGGCCTGTAGAGTGGCTTGCCGTAGTGGTACGCCACCCTCTGCATTATTGATGATTTGGAGGAGTTGGCCGATCAAACCAGGCCACATACCGAGAGGCAATTCGACGGCGCCGATGGCGGCGATAGCTTGACCGGATACTTGGCGGACGGCGCGTTGCTCGTCGGCGAGCAATCGAATGAGGCCATCCTTGATCTTGAGCCTGAGCTCATCGGTGATCGACTTCCAACGCTCGATCAGTTCCTCATTTCGGCCAGCATCTCGCGAGGTGAGTGCATTCTTGAGTGCCAACCCAGCCGCATTACGGATGTGTGCTGGTTGATCGACGGAGGTGAGGACGCCGAGGAGGGAGTCGAGGTAGGGAGCTGGATGCTCTCTCGACGCGGTTTCGAGTTGGGTGGTCGCGGCGGTTCGAAGTGCCAGATCGGCTGAGAGAGTATTGGCAAGGAGGGTTGCAGCGTCCATGATGCTTCAAACCTGTAACGGATAACACAGGACGAGGGTTGAGCGACAGTTACGATCAGTGGTTGGCAGACGGATCAGACTGCCAGGCCAAGGTGAGGAATGGGATGGGTTGAGAGACGGATTAGCAATCGAGGTGAGGAGGACTAAGGAGGCAGGATGGGTTGAGTCACAATGGGGGCCAGGGTTTACAAGGGGGGGAGGAGGGGGGGGTTTGAGGGTGGTGGTGAGCTGGGGATGAAGGGGAGAAGATGACATACGTTGTAGGGTGGAGGAGTGTGAGTGTTGAGTAGTTGGAGTGGTGAAGAGTGTTGGTGTATGATGTAGAGTAACAAAAGATAAGAAAAAAGAAAAAAAAAAAAAAAGCAAAGGCTCAAAGAAAGGGTGCTGCTGATCGAGGCCAGCCAAGGGAGTTGGGCGAGCGAGCAAGCCGAGGAGAAAAAAAGAACACAATGGAAAAAAACCGAACAAAACAAAACAAAACAAAACAAAACAAAAACCCACAGGTTTAAACTCACAGCGGAGACTTATAAACAGACCATGTCAAACCAACACAGAACTCAACAACTGAGCAGTGCAGTCCAGCTTGAAGACTTCACATCACCAAAAGTCTGATAACCAATCATATCAATACATCATCATCACAAAAACCATCTGTCAACTGATGAATTCCACAAACCAGGAAAAAAGTGTAGGGTTTTATGCTTTCAGGGTCTGGGATCACTTATAATTTGTGAATGCATCTTGCTTTGGATCACATAAATGTACCATCAACCCACCCTTGTTTAAGTCACATGAGACTTGGTCAAGCGGTGCAAAATATGATTCAAAGAATGATTCTGACAACCAAGATATATACAAGTTACAACAGTAGTGATCATAAAACAAGTTTTGGCTGGGCACTGCTTAATTACATAACCCAAGCCAAGATCATTGATGGTTATTAAATCTATGATGATGCAGTCAGCCACCAGTCCATAATAAGGGGGTTTCAAAATTGATCCACAAATTTAAAAACATATAATGTATTTACCATAGCCCGGTTGGGCCATTTTATGTTCTTTACTCTGCATTCTGATTATGGTCAGTATATGGAGGATTAGTAAAAAAATACAGCCTCCTAAGAGCTCACATACATCCTGCAATATAGCCCTATCTTTCTTTGGGCATTCTGACCTGGACTTGATGAAGAATGAGATAGCTGATCTGCTGAGGACTGCTGAGGATCTTGGAAATTGTTGATTGGGCTTTCTCAATTTACTTACAAAAGAAGGAAACTCAGTCCCTTTCCAAACCTGAATTATACATGTATGGAAATCATTTTCAGTTTAATGATTTGGGTTTGAATGAAGAATGTGGAATTAAAAATGTAGTATTTCCAATGATCTGTAACTAAACAAACAAATGCGGTTAAGATTTTATAATTACAAAACTGTATCCTATACGATGAAATTGATAGAAGAAACTTGATTGAATGACATCAGTCCAGTTTATTTCTCTTAAATACTCTCCAGAGTTTATCCCATAAATTAATAAAATAATATCCCAGTGGCTTGCAGCTCTTCTTCCAATCTTTGTAGAGCTGTTCGATCCTATCTTTGTGATGATCAGGATGGAATAGATGACCTTGACTAGAGATCCCCTTCTTCAATCCAAATTCTTTGAGGTATTTCTTTTTGATTGTTGACAGTTTGGGAAGTATTAATTCAATAACTTCATCAAAGTGACTATAGATATATTGCAGTGTTGATCAAAATGGCCAAGGATAGAATCATCTGCTTTTTCAGCTCAGATCTAATCACTTTTTAGCCCAAACTAGAAAACTTGAGATATATAGGGACATACAGTTGGGTGAATTCTCTCTCAAGTTGTCGTGAGACAGCTACAGGATCTGCATCTACAGCAGCTCCATTTCTTATGACAAAAGGGTGGTTCCTGAACAACAAACAAAAAATTGACTGAATTCAGTTCAGTTCTGCAAGGAATAATTCAAATAAAAAGAACTCACTCATTCACAGTTTCCTTGATCCAACCCTTGGCAAGTCTGATCAGCTCTGCCAGCCTTGATTGATCATAATTTCCGCTATGTGTTGCTCTGAAATTGGGTTTAAGTGATCAGATTGAGTTGCATTGTATTTGATGATTGAGCAGTAGAAGCCAAGCTGCAACAGTGGAAGGATATGTATTTTGGAACTTGGCAAGCTTGTATGCCTGCCATAGGATTGAACTTGAAGAATGGAAATTTGATGTTGAAGATTGGGTAGAAACCTACAAGAAGTGAGCAGTAAAAGCCCAAGTTGTATCAAGGCTTACTCCCATCACCCTTGGTGCAGTCACACGAAATGTAGCCAATGGTCTACATTACATATGTTCAGACCCTTTTTTCATGTCAGTTGGAGTGTTTGAAGTTTCAAACACAATAACTAACATGATTGGTCCCTCATCAATCACTGGGGCACCATAATATGGTATGCTTGTTCCTGCACCTCTTTGTGGGTGTTCTCTGGACCTGTTGTGTGTCTCATCATGCAAAAGTAATTGGTGTAAGTCATCAAAATAAGATTAAGAAATGGGAACAACAAATTATGCTCACAGCATTATACCGTTGCTGCCCTTGGGATCATCAAAAGGGCACCCGAAACGTGATTTACCGGCAGGTGATCTGTTGACATTGAGAGCGCAAAAGTTTCATATAATAAAGGTATCAAATATGTGATGTTAAGATCCCAACACGGCAGTCTGCTTGATGTCGAATTATTAGGTCCCGAATGCAGACTTACATGTATTGTGTCGGAACGGATGCGCTAGAACCATGGTTATGAGATTAGAGCAGTTAGCTCTAGTCATATGATCACGATGCTCGTCTGGGAGCTGACTTACTGTTTGGATTCGGTTGAGACTGAGTGAAGGAGCCTGCGGGATTAAAAGCCATCAGAATAGTGCCATCATATCTATTTCCTGGGGAGACCCACGGTGTAGCCATCTCTACATCATGGCCCATTCGTCTCCACAAACTGCGACCAGAGCATCCCATTGGGCATCCAGCAAGTAGCACGCAAATTGTGGCCAGCACGTCGAGATGCAAAATCATCCTTCCTGGGGTTCTTTGTGTTTTGCTTGTGATTTCGGCACCTTGTGGTCAAGTTAAAACAAAAACACTAGGGAAAGGTCGGGCAGCATTGAGGGTTGTAGAGGGTTAACTATAGGAGATATTCCAACCGTCGCGTCACAGAACGATAATTTGATTGGCGTATTTGTTGGCCAGTAAAAATGGCTTATCTAGGTCAAGCGGAGTGCCCAATGTCCTTCAGTTTACATGCTCAAGGCTGGAAACTGCGTCTTCCATTCCAAGGGATCAACATATACGAAACAAGCTTGATCAGACAAGATAAACAGTGAGACTCGTCGACCAAGCAAGAGTTAAAAACCATGACTTGGGAAGACTCCAATACTACTGATACCTGAATGAACGATGTCGAGAAGTGTCTCACTGCACAGCTGAGGAGGGATCGTCCGTTAGACCGACTCCGGTGTTACTCTGTGGGGGCTTCTCGAACTCGCAATTCGCGACCGCCTGCCAATCCATCAGATTCTCGTCGCCTTCCATCCCGAGTGGCTCTAGCTAATCGCACCGTCAACAACATGAAACACTTCTTTGAGGTCTTTGTCCAGGCGGTCCCAGGAACTTGATGCTTGGTTTATCTATCCCTTTTATCTATCTACTTGAGGCATCCAGCAAGAGTCAGACACGCAGTCCAAGATATGGCCTAAGCTTGGGAGCTTCAAAAATGAGACACTTTCTCAAGCTATCTACAATTTGTTACCAAATTACCATTTTGTATTTTTGCAACGCGTGAGATTTTTGGCAAAAAGAATTGCAATTTGCAAAGCTGTGGAATTAGATCCAAAACTATAGTAAAATGGTATCCAAAGGCTGAATACAACTTACAAGCATAACTACAAGGAAAATTGTTTGATTCAGGAAAACCAGTGTTTAGCACAAAAGAGAGTGAAACTCAAGAGCATGGCAAGACTGATTGAGTTTGTCTAGTAAATATGTTTAGTTTTCAACTGTTTTTTGAACAGGATCAATCAAGTAGAAAACTATAGCTTGAAAAAGAAAGTAGCTAATTTATGATGTACTGAATGGAAAGGGGAAGGAGAAACATCGAAAATAAATCACTCCGGCTTTCTTTTGAACAAGCTCAGGAAACCTTCCCAAAAGTCCAGTACATGAAATTTGAAAGACTTGTGGCTTGCTTTCCATTCTTCGTAGAGCGCCTCGACCTTTGCATGACTCCAGTGAGTTTGAGTGGCCAAGTGGTATTCATTTCTTTCGCCATTCCCCAATGCAAATCTTTTGATGTAAGTCTTTTTAGTTCCTGATAGTTCGGGACGGGAGTATTCAAGCATTTCATCAAAGTGCCTGCCCGGTGTGAATCAAACCCAGTCATTTGCAAGTGGATCGTTTGATGGGTCAGTTTGGCTTCTTGGTTGCGAGCTCAGAAGTTGTCATGAGATGCGTACATATAGTCGAACTGTGAAGCCCACTCTTCCAGCAGCTGTTTATGACCTTTCGATGCTATTTCTGGAAGACGTGGGTGCCTTAATTTGATCAATGAAAAAAAAGGCAGTCATCAGCTTAGGTGGAAGATTTTCGACTAACGGTAAATAAATAAAGTGAACAAATGATAAATTAAAAAAAAACCAAGGGAAAACGGACTCGCTGGCCGCCATCCAACTTAACACGACATCAATTATCTCTGAGAGCACAACAAACCTCTGATTTCTGTGGGACCGTGATCTGCGTACAAGTGATCAGAAGCCATGAGTTGGACCATGTCAAGTTATACTGCAATGGGCACTTTGAGGTGTTCTACTGCAATACATGTTTTTCAAAAAGAAACCTACTCAAAACCCCTAAGTATCCGACGAATATCGACAGGGTTTATGCCCGTCACCCGGGGAGCGATGATCCGGAACTGTTTCAACGATCTAGAAATCTGGTCATTTATACATTGCTAAGCTTGAACTTCTTCCAATAATAACAATTGAGGATATTTTCTTTTTTTGTTTGATCATCAGTTGAGGCACTTACATTGTCTTCCCTTGTGGTACTGGATTAAAGGTTGTGGGAGTCCTAGTGACGCGGGTGTGTGCTCCTGGTCCGTCGCGTGTCTCCCTGGAGTAGGATGGTATCCGGAATGCATTTGAAATAAAGTGGTTGGAGACAACACAGGTTATTATACTGACTGGAGTATCTTCCAAAGCAACAAGGCTCACACCATAGCATCCTTAGAATCTTTCGGCCCATTGAATGGCATTCCCATGAGTCTGTCCACATGTGATCCTCTGTTTGCGTCGAGTCGCGTCGGATGTTAGGGTTGCACGTTATCATTTGTGGATTGACTTCAGAAAATTTAGCTCTTGTCCAACGATTATATATATGATTGCACAAAAGGCCACTCACTCTCTGAATGCAGTGGAAGGAGAGTGAGAGAGGCTAGCGGGGTCCGGAGCAGTGAAACATAAGTGGCTAAATATGAGAAGCTGCAAACAACGTACCAAATCTAAAGCCCAATTTTAATTTTTTTTGACACTTACGGGGAGGTCACCTCCTCTAAGACGGCGCGTTTCCACACACTGTTGCCGGGAGATCGTGCTGAGGATTGGGAGATGATTACCATCAGCGTGACCAGCGCACCGCCATGGAGAAACATCCTACTTGGCGTGGAATTGCAACTGAAGGCTTGTGAAGGCGCTTGATTCACAGAGCGAGGAAGCGTGAACGGATAGCGGTCAACCAGGTATGGGATTAAAAGGCTTGTTCACAGCCGTTATCTGACTCACAAGGAAACTGCCTCTGAGAAGAGGTCAATACAGAGCTCGGGAACATGGATTGTCTGCTCAGGACTTGGGGAAGCTCGTATGGTGCATGTACAACACACACATGGATTCATACATATGGATTGAGAGTGGATCGTCCGATGATGAAACAAGATGAAACTTGTGTCATTGAAGACATTCGGGCAGCCTGAAGTGGCGTCAAGGATTGCCCTGCATTGCTGCTGGCATCCGACCAGGTCCAACCGGTCACTGCCGCCCCCGGCATTATACACATCATCAGCTTGCCCGGTACCAGCGATTACAACCTAGCATAAATGCAGATGTAGCAGCGAAGCTGAGAAAGAGGACCTATGGTCCTGTTGGTTGCTAAACCCATTGTGGACTATTTTTGATGGTACTAATGACATTAAAGCTTTTGGGTTTATAAAAAAAAAGACCCAACGTGTTATCCATCCGTGCTGATTATCCCAATCTATTCTCAGGACCAACATGAGTTATATGGTCAAAATGAGAGTCAAAAAATGAGGAAGAAAAAAAAAAACTTTCGAGAATTAGAGCACCCATATTCTAAAGTTACTTGTGCTTTCTTTTGAACAATTTTGATATCCACTCCCAAAAATTGAGCATATGGAATGTGGGTGACTTTTTGCTGTTCTTCCACGCATCATAGAGCTCTTTGACGTCCGCATGGTTCCAGCGAGTCCGAGTGGACAGGTGGAATTGATTCGATTCACCTCTCTCCAATGCAAGCTTTTTGATGTACTTCTTTTGTGTTTTCGAGAGTTTGGGATAATGATATTTGAGCATTTCATCCAAGTGCCTGGTTTTTAGTCGATCAAATCATCCAGGTGTTGGTGGATACGTTGATGAATGCTCGGGTAAGAGGAGAAAAGTTGTAAAAAAGATGCTTACATATAATCAAGATGTGGCGACCACTCTTCTAAGAGCTTCATATATCCTTTTGCTTGCATCTCTTGGGCAAGTGGGAGACTTGATTGATCAAGGATTGAAAAATAATGGGATTAGGACCTGGACTTTTTGAAAAGGAGGATAGAGCCCAGGAAAAAACTGACTCTTTGTGTATTCCTGTCATCCAAAGATAGAAGATTCTAATCAAATTTGCGCGGTCAACAAATTCTGTACTTTCGTATTTTGCTCTAAAACATGTGGAGGTTAAGTGATCAAGAGGTTAGCTGATGACCATTGCAATTAAAGCTGAACTCAGTCATCATAGTTGGCTATGTATTGAGAGAACTTGAACCCCCCCCCCCCTTTCTTGAGGAAAAAAAGGCAACCTACGCATAGTGCCTAGTTATATCACGGATTTCTTCGGGGGATACGCCTGTCACCCGCGGAGCAACAGTCTGGAATACCTTCATTGATCTACAAATCAGGTCATTTTTAGCTCACTTCTATCTATCCCATGTGGATTCCTGTTAATATGCCTTTTGATAGCGTCAACCAGGCTACCCACATTGTGTCAGGCTGTTTTATTGAATTACTTGGTACCAGGCCATATTTGAGACCTAGGTGTGTTTCTGGCTCTCGGTGTGTTTCTGGCTCTCGGTGTGTTTCTGGCTCTCGGTGTGTTTCTGGCTCTCGGTGTGTTTCTGGCTTTTGGTGTGTTTCTGGCTCCCTCAAGTGCCAGTGTGTTTCTTGCTCTTTAGGTGTTTCTGACTCTCTGGGTGATTCTCTGCACAGACGTTGGATTATATCCAGTGACCATTAGCCAGGAGAGAGTGGATAAAACACAGTCTATTATTAGGCTGCAGTTTGGAGGATTTTTTTTTTCAAATCAAAATCGATGCTCACATCACACCATCATCTTTGGGCCCTTTGGGGGCATCGAATAGCCTTCCCATCTCTCCGTCCATCTTGGATCCTGCCCTAGTTGTAATAGTGAATCAATAGATTTCCGAATATTTAGTGATTGTTAGCTCTTGCCCGACGAATCCAATGTCTGCCTGATTGCTCGCTTACTGTTTGAACTCAGCGGAACGAGAATGGGAGAGGCTGGTGAAGCAAATAAATGTCAGAATTGCCGAGCAACCACCTCCAGGCTCCAAGTGAGATTATTTTGACACTTACACGGAAATCCCCTCGACCTCACCACCAGCGCGCTTCCACAGACTTCCCCGCAAACATCGTGCTTGCGAGTGGGAGATGAGCGCCAACAGCGTCACCAGTGGACCGGGATGGATAAACATTTGTGCCTTCTTCTTCTTACTTGTTTTCGGCTCTGGGGGCGAGGATAGGCCTGAGTGGTTGCCAAGACGGGAAAGGAGCGAATGGCGGCTGATAGATTATTCCAGCTCAAGCGGGTTGCTGGATTTCCAAGAAAAAGTAGCTGCCTCGCTCAAAGGGGAAGTGGTGGGGTAGCTACAGGTCGGAAGCATCAAGTCTTGCAATGTTGGGTCAAGACTCGACTCGGGGAAACTATAATGCGAATATGTAGTACTGCTTGTGTAACAAGAATCTGACTGCTGATGAAACCCTGATGAAACTTGTGCGGACAGATGTTGTGAAAGCGTCATGATCGATCGTTTCTCTCAACTCCATGAGCTGTGTTTGAAAGGCAAACTACAAAATAGTGATCCCAAAATGACCCATTGGTGCATAAGAAATCAAAAAGTGGAAGGATGAGGCAGGTGTCCATTATGATTCCCCACCAGTATGGTTTGTTCTCTTCAACTTGGTTCTGTAACTCTGCTATGAGCACTTGGGATCAATATTGATTGTAGAAAATTGGGTGGTGCATTTTGTCACTCCAAATTTGAGTCTTCAGTTCCTATTTTTTCAAATAGTCGAGACACTGTAGTGGTCAGCCAGGAAAGAGTTAATGTGATGTCAAAATGATTCTCCCGGATTTCATTTGGGGATGAAGTTTGAGATCAAGACTGGAGGTTTCAACTTTCTGTTGGCGAGAAGCTTTCTTTGGTAGGTTTAACAAGCAGGCAATGAAGTTAGCCTAATGTGATGGCTCATAACATGTGGTGTGGCCCCACCACATAGCTTACAAAGCTGATCAAGAATAAAACTAAAGCAACTAAACTTGTTGAAAGCTTTGCAGATTGTTGGTTTCACTCTGACTGGGACACACATTTTGGGCAGAGAATAATAATATACTAGCAGAAGGTCACTTTGGCGGGAGAGCTAACCGAAGTACCGATGATGCTAACATGTTCTTAACTTCTTGGATCAGACATAAATGGAGGGAAAAGAAAGTAGTCTCAGCTCTCTTCCTTGACGTTAAATCAGCGTTCCCAACAGTCATTAAAGAGAGAATGATTGACACACTGGTCAGAAAGAACGCTCCCGCTTACCTACCAGCCATCATCAACAGCCTACTTTCAGACCGAACAACCTCAATAAAGATGGATGATTTCACCTCGACCCCATTTAAACTGAAATGTGGCTTACCACAAGGATCTCCCCTTTCCCCAATCCTTTATATTATCTACAACTCATCCCTACTGATCAATAACCCCCTCGATCTGAGTCAAGATTCTATTTCTTTAGGTTTTATCGACGACGTTACACATCTTATAGCAGACAAAGACATCGGGACAGCGACACAAAGACTGGAGACTGAAGGTGAAAGATCATTACAGTGGGGTACCACCCATAACGCCATCTTCGATAAGAAAAAGGCTAAGGCCTCGTTTGGCCGTCCATGATCGTCATAAACGATCATGGCGAATATTTCGGGGGCGCACAGCTGAAGACGGGGCCTCACGATGGTGTTTGGGAGGCCACGTCATATCCACTTTCTTTATGACGGAAGTGGTCAGCGAGATATATTCCCTGCCAATTCCAACATTTTGGGTCCCCCCAAAATTTTCCGTCATAAGGCCTCACAGCAAGTTTGAGAAGGATTTTCAGGCTGCGTCATTTGCACAGCCTGGAATCATCAAACCTAGATTCTGATTTAACGATTTGAGACGACGGCGTATAACGATCGTGGACGGCCAAACGAGGCCTAAGTATATGATCTTTACACATCGCCACATTAATCCCCTACCCTTAAGATTCGGTGAATTCTCCCTTCCTCCCTCACCTAACGCCAAGTATCTTGGCATCATTTTTGATTCCAAACTGCTATTCAGCGACCATCTAAAAAAAGTAAAGAAATGTGGAGAGCAAACTGTCGCTCAACTGATCCGAATCTCTAGATGCTCCTTTGGTATTGGATTACAACAGTCTAAAAACTTAACTGTTAGTGTCCTCCGATCAAGAATCCTTTATGGAAGCATGATCTGGGCTTCCGAAAGGAATCGCAAACAAGTCAAAAATATCATTGACAAAATCGAAAACCAAGCAAATAGAATGATCCTAGGAAACTTTCGTTCAACTCCTCGCGCGTTTCTAAACAGACAGAGTCCGCTAATTCCCTTCTTTGATATGCTAATAAGAAAGAACCTTTTATACTTTGCAAAAAAACTAACAGCCCCAGATCAACATCCAATCAAACGAATCCTCAACTCAGAAATGCTCAACCAACCGTCAACACACCCTTCACCAATTCACAACATGCTAGACCAACAATCACTAACTCAACTCAACATCAACAATATAGAAATTATCCACCAACATCAAATTCAACCATGGGAGAGTTTCAGCCTCGAAATCAACAACATGAAGGTCAACAAAGAAAAGGCGAAAGAAGTAGTCAACAACCAGATCACCCAAATGAAGACCGACTCAGAAAACTTACTATTCACAGACGGCTCCAACATCCCAGAACAAGGAACGGCAGCAGCAGCTTTACTCAACAACTCAACGTCCTTTGCCTGCAGAATCAACAGCGCCAAAAACTCATCATCATTTGAAGCCGAGGTTACAGCAATCAACATTGGCCTCAAAATATTCAAAAATAACCTCAACAACTTACACTCCGGAACCCAACATTTTATCTTCAACAACCAACTTAACATTTTCTGCGACAATCAAGCCACACTGACAGCGATTTCGAAACCACCAAAATCGACATCATTACAGTCGTTCCGTAATGGAATGGAATCGTCGAGTGTGGATTTCTCCCATTTCCCACTCGATGAGTCCCCCGTTCTGCCAAGCTTGTTTTGAGTTTGGCAGATACTCGCAACAGCGTTCTCCCGCTGCTGTTCCTCCAGCAATCGGGGGGACTGAGGGGGACTGTTTATCAAGTTCAAGACTGAAGCTGTACAGTCATCCCATGTACCTTCGACCTTAGGAACGATGCCTAGAAGATACATCAATCCTTACGCAAAGTACCTCGCGGTCGACCTCTGGAATCAACACATGGATATCGAGCAGATCAAGAGGACACTAAGAATCAACTTTTCGCGCAGTTCGTTACACCGATGGACTCACCTTCACAAAAGCACAGGGTGTGTTGTGAGGAACCCAGCCGACTACGAACCATTTGGACCGCGAGGCTCAATACCAGAAGATATACAAGAAGAATTGCGAGTATACCTCAGAGAACATCCAACAAGTTATTTGGATGAGATACAGGAATGGCTGTTGGAGGAGCACGATATTGCTACATGCATCTCCACCATAGATCAGACTCTGCGTAAAAAGATGAACATTACATTGAAAAAGAACCATCAGGTCAATTCCAAGCAATCAGACTTGAAGATGGCTGAGTATCTTGCTCAAGTGGGCACCATGCCAGCTGAGTTCATGGTTTTTGCAGGTGAGGTTGCTCTTTGTTCTCAATCTAGCAATGTTTGATATAATTGCTGAATCAAATGCAATCAGATGAATCTTCTATATGCCGTAGAAGCCTCAACCGACCTAAGGGACGTGCTCCTTCTGGACAACGAAGCTACCAGCAAACCAAACACTCAAATGCTAAGCGATACTCGGTACTTCCAGGCATCTCGCTCTATGGTGTTCTAGGAATTGATATCAAGGAAAATTCATTCAAACGTCCAGACTTTGAATCATTTTTGAAGCATACTCTGGTGAGAAAAAATTCACTACACAATCTTTTGACCAGAAGGAATAGGAGTTAATTCTTAATTTTTTAAAGTTACCAAGAATGAATCCCTTCCCCGGAATCAACTCAGTTTTGATTATTGATAACTGCTCTGTTCACCACGGTGGGAATGTCCAAAAGCTATGTGATGAACATGGTATGTTAAATTTAGTGAAATTGATCATTGTAATGTCTTCAAAGTTCTAACAACTGAACTCGACCAGGTGTAAGATTAATCTACCTTCCACCTTACTGGCCCGAACTTAACCCCATTGAAATGTGTTTTTCAGTTTTAAAGTCACATTTGCGCCGCTCAAATAGTTTATTGAATTCAGATGATGAGATCGCATCCATTTATCATGCTACTGCTACCATCATGGATGATAGATTGTGTTACAAAGAGTATAAAAGCAGTGGTTATCTTGTCTAAATATAATAGTTTCTTCTCATATAAATCAACTTGGCTACATTTTAGTTATTTTAATCATTCAGAGTCTTCAGGTTCAGATTGGCTGGTCTCATAATGATCTTCTTGGTGTGAACTGGATTGAGATTTAGCCTTCAGATGTTCAGTAAATCTTTTGACGTTATCGCGCAGACTTGCAACCAATCCACATGGAAAGTGGTATTCATTAATGAGCGAGTGGACGACCAAATCAGTTGCAAAGAGGTGGTAGTTGTTGATAAACTGCTCGCGACAGAATGTAGTGAGGTCTTCGTAGCAAGTATCCGGTTTGTATTCACAGAATTCGATGTACTCGCTGAGGGAAACATCTTTGCCTAGCCTGTAACATTCATCGAGATCCCCTTCAGATTCCGATGATTGGCCTCGTTGTTGATTGTGATGGTCGCAGGTGACCGGGGAAGGAGGATCATTGTTTTTCCTCTTTTTGAGTTTTCTATAAGTGAGAGTTGAGGGTGGGTGCTTAAGATCAACTCCAGCTTCTTTGTTGATCTGGATCCAAAGTCAGTAAGCTTTTAAGAGATAAAAATGAAGAAAACAAAATCAAACATGCCACTTACAATTGCCTCGGCCCAGATGGTCATTGTACTGCCTGTCAGGATGATCCCTTCATTTGGATTGATTGGGTTTCGGTAGATAGGAAAGCCTCGATGCAAATGCCCAGCCATCCGATGAGTATTATGGAGATTTCGAATAGTTGCTGCAAGGGCGAAATCATTCAATGGTGGCGAGGCTGATGGAGCTTGACTTGAACGTCGATCGTCAGATTGCGAATTTTGACCGGAGCCACCTCGGTTAGCCAAAGTGCCTTGTCTTTGAAGTTCTTGTTGAACAGCTGCTTGCTTATGGAGCCAAACATAAGCATTACTCAGCTTTCAGTTAGTTGGTTGTTTTTGTTAGAAACGATATATCTAGCTGGAAACAGAAACAACAAACATGATCTGCTGGAACCTCCGGTTCTGTCCCATCGTCTCCAGGTTTATTTTGTTTGATAATGATAGAGGCTCGTCCTCGTTTACTCCTCTCGATCTCGCGAGTCCATCGTTTAAAGGTTGCTGAATCCAAACGGATCTTCTTAGACCGATTAAACATCCCTTGGCGGCTGTTTGTCAACGTGATGATCCATTCAGTTCTAGATATATCGGAATTGGTATCAGCCAGGACCACATTTCCAAGATCAGGGCATCGCTTGTTCATCACGTTCACAAGCATATCTTGAAATGCTTCAAGAGTAGTCTCGCGAGTGTTGATTGTGACTGAACACGACTTTGGCTGCTTGAAATTGAGTGGTGCAAGTGGAATCAGTCCTTTTCGTCCTTTTTTGGGTGGCCTGCGGATGAAAACATCGAATTGAACAAAAATTTCGGTATCGCGACCACATCCTGCTGATTCAGAACAGATTCCGTCCTCCTCAAAACTCGGCGTGCTAAGAGGTGGGATGAGTGAATCGATTGGTTCTCCTTCGTCTTGAGTCATGATCAATGGGTGTGCTCTATAGCTCTTTCTGAACACCCCCCCCCCCTCCCTCCCCCCGATTGCTGGAGGAACAGCAGCGGGAGAACGCTGTTGCGAGTATCTGCCAAACTCAAAACAAGCTTGGCAGAACGGGGGACTCATCGAGTGGGAAATGGGAGAAATCCACACTCGACGATTCCATTCCATTACGGAACGACTGTACAATTCAGATTCAACAAAATTTTTACTCTCTTAAAATCTATTTCTTCCAACCCAACTACGCCAATTCAACTTTTCTGGTGCCCAGCACATGTAGGAATCTCGGAGAATGAACGGGTTGACACTCTCGCCAAAGAAGCAACTATCGATAATCAACAATTTCAACTCGAAGATCAACCTCAATCTCTTTCAACATTACAACAACAAATCCAAAAAAAATACAAATTCAACAAAATCAAAAAACCTTTAATCCAAAACAATATCAAATTAACAACGCTACCTTTCAAAATTTTCAACAAACTCAATCAAATTGAAAGAGGAGGAGGGGCCGCCATCTATCAACTTCGGTCAGGTCACTGCCCCCTCAACAGTTTCTTATTTTCTATCAAAAAATCCGACACACCACTCTGCACCATCTGCAACACAAATGAAGACGTCAAACATTACATACTATACTGTAAAAAATATCACATTCAAAGAAAAAATTATCGGAAAAAAATCAAAGAAAACAAAATAAAAATCAACATCTTTTCGCTAAAATCAATCCTCGACTCACCAGATAACTTCGAAATCTTAGCCGACTTCATTTTAGAAACAAAAAGATTTAACAACTTACAATATTACATTGAAAAAGAAAAAATCTAAAATAAAAAAAATAAAATAAAAATAAAAATAAAAAAAAATAAAAAAAATAAAACATTTTTCACATCTCACGGTTCTTTATTTATTCGGTCTCCAGTTATCATTTCTTAAAATTTCTCTTTTTATTTTATTCTCAATCTCTTTCTCCTTTTATTCTATTTTTCTCTCTCACTTTTTCGCCTTTATATCAATTTTGCACACTCAGTATTAACCAACACAAAAGATCAATCTATTTGTTTTTTTTCAGATTTCAAACAACATTTGTACGGGGGAACCATCGAGCTGGACAGGCGGGACAATCGGTGGCTTCTTCTCTCTCTCGAACACATCATACATAGAGGTTGTGGACTAGGGCCCCACAATGCGACTTGCCTGGGAAACAAGGCGCAGAGAGTTGGAGCCATCGATTTCCCCAATTGTTCAGATACGATTAAAGAGGAGGAATTTCTTTTATTTTCTTATATTTTATCTCATGAATTTTGGTTTCATAAATCCTTTTATTTTCCGCTTTTTTTCAGTCTCCTCCCTTTTTCTTTTTTCTATTTCTTTCTCTTTTTATGGCCAGTTAAAACTAAGAAACCACTAGAAGTCATCATTTACTCACTACATAACCGTTGTCATGTACTTTCGATCTTAGATACAAAAACATCTTCGCATGTATTCTCACAATAGCTTTTCACTGTAGTGCGCAATGTCAATATCAATTAGCACTTAAAAAAAAAAAAAAAAAAAAAAAAAAAAAGCCTTGACAACAGTAACCATTCCTCTTGGATAAATTTCATAGCCACATGAGTACTAAGAATACTAGGTGGGTTCTCACACTGTGTTATATATCCTAAACAAAACTGAGAACTTTGAAGCCTTAAAAGAAAAAGAAAAAGAAACAAAGAAAAACAGTAGTGAAGAAAAGAATTACCAGAACCTTGAAAGAACAGGAAGTTAGATGAACTGCTGATACAGTAAGTGTACAATTGACTCTTAAAGAGTATATTAGCAAACTATGCAGGACAATGGCTTTTCAAACAGATAAAATTTAGATTAATTAAAAATAAGATTTAATAAAAAGAATCAAAAGAAAATATCTCAAGACTAAAGATCCCTAGCCAATGATCCCCTTCACAAAGTGATTGATGCCAAACTTGAACTAGATTTATCTTGAATAGTTGGGCAATGTTGAGTAGTGAATAATAAGATCAAGATGAGGAAGGATTGTCTTGACCAATCAAAGTTGATCATGACATCATGATCAAAAACACTTCCAATCTGAAACCACTGCGACTACTGCACAACCCAATTCCAACAAAAACAGTACAGCTAACTAAATCCACAGTCTCCTAGGATTAACTCTTGATACAAAAAGAGCTCAAAATGTATGTCTATTGATAGCCCTGTGCTCACTTCCAGGATGAATGATGTAGTTGGAAGAGTTGACTGAACAAAATCTGGATCAGACTGTGTCCAAAACATTCCACAGCCATGTCTGAGCACTTTTCTTTCTGCAGTGCATCAAGTGAATGGCTGGGTCAAAGTACAGTGCCCTCCCAGATGTATATAGCCAATTTGTTTGGATTACACAACCCTAACCCACCAGCTTGAAATCATGAGACTTGAGCAAGTGGTATAAAAGAGGTTTCAAAAAATGATTCTGAAAACAAAAGTATAAAAAACCAATTTTCAACATTTTCAAAAATATTACAATTATTGCACTTTTTTCAAAAGTCTTAATATTGCTCCAAATGAAAAAATGAAAATTGGAAAGAGTGGTATGGTATGCAAGAAGAATGATAATAAATGAAAAAAATCAACACCAGAAATTATTTGGACCTCAGTATCCAGTTCAAAACACAAGTTGAATTTGATAGCACTGCCTCCTTCACTGTTTTTTCCACTGTGAGACTGATGAATGTCTCCCTCCACACCAGTTTAAAACCATCTGGTAGTTATTTTATCATAATTTTCATTTATTATCATTTCTCAAGCATACCATACTCCAAGTTCCAATTTTTATTCATTCATTTGGAGCAATATTGAGACTTTTGAAAAAAGTGCAATAATTGTGCTATTTTTGCAAATTTTAAAAATCAGTTTTTCAGATTTTTGTTTTCAAAACCATTGTTTTAAACCTCTTTTATACCACTTGGC